TCTATTTCTTTCTTCAAAGACTTGAAGTTCTTGTCAAATAGATCTTTCACTTCCTTGGTCAGGGTTACCCCAAGATATTTTATGCTCTTTGTGGCTATCGTGAAAGGTGATGCTTCTGTGATTTCCCTCTCTGTTTCCTTATCCTTAGTGTATAGGAAGGCAACTGATTTTTTGGAGTTGAAGTAATAAAGTTTTTAAATGAGGTTTTTCTTATGTGTTTTTTAATAAACTTCATTGAAATCTAAAATAGTTACTAGGATCATAGAATAGTAGCTTATATCCTTAGTTTTAGTAACTAATATTTGGTTTTTGAAAGCAACATGAGTAGTAATTCTTATATTAAGGCTCTATAGTATGCTTTTTAAAAATTTTTCTGATTCTCAAGTATAAGAGCTAATTTGAACCCTAATGTCAAATATAATTGAAGTGGAAAGCCAATAAACATATCCAGTGCTGGGTGTGGTGATGACATGCCTTTACAGCACAAGAAAGGCAGAGACAGTCAGATCTCTGAGTTCAAGGAGAGCCAGGGCTACACAGAGAAACTCGGTGGGAAAGGGGTGTAGTTGATATGAAATGGATAGCAGTCATCGGTGGTAAGTGTAATGCCACAAGCTAGAAGGAAATATTTTAACATATTGATAGAAAAATAGATGTGTGTAGTCTTAATAATTCCCTACATATTTATCAACTAGTAAAATAGTTAAAAGAGATATAAAAGATTACATAACAAGGTACAATTGAAACTGTATAAAGAATTTAGACACAGCAGAATAGATGTTGAATTCTTGAAATAAATCTCTACATGAAACAACTGTGTTACCAAAGCTGAAAAAGGAAAAAGATGTGAGCTCTGTTACAGATGCATGTTGAAAAATGATGTATGTGTCTATGTAGTACTCTTCTTGGAATACAGAGAAGGATCTGCATGAGAATAATGTGTTAAGACAGTTAAATTGTAATCGTACGATATTACACAGATGTTTAGTTGCCACACACCATTTAAGGCAAAAAGCAATTGGTGCTTAAAGTTAGTCTTCATATTCACTGCTGAAATATAGGCCTCTTAGCCGTCTAAATAGGGTGAAAGTTTTCTTAGTTGTCATAAAGAGAATTCTAAACATCATAACAGGACAGCACCATTGAGAATTGGTGCGATACCTACCTTTGCTACCACAGTTCCTCTGCAGGTCCTTGAATTATTAACAAAAGAAAAAAGTGAAAGTGATAAATGTGAAATAATAAACATTTACATTTATGGATATTATTTGATTGTGAGCTTGATAGTGTGTGACAATCACAAGAAAACATTCTCAGAAGAGTGGTGTGGAAAAATGACACTTTCTGTAAGCAAGCTTTTCATAGCTTATGACATGAAGAAAAGAATTATCAAGAATCATAAACATAATATAGTCATTGCAGCAAGAAATAGAGGATTTATACCAGGATTTATATCAATTTTGCTTTTAAAAGGAAAAATTATGGAAGGTTCTAGAATGGGAGGACTCATATTATATGGTCAATTTTTTTAAGTCACCTATAAGTTCAAAGAAATTTAAAACTAAACATTTATTTTTTATGAACTTGATAAACCAATCCCAGGGTTTATGTGAATAAGAAAGTGCACAAGACTAAACAAGACTTTTGTTTTTCTTTTTCTTTTCTTTTTTTTTTCTTTTTTCTTTCTTGATTTTTTTGAGATAGAGTTTCTTGTGTGACCCTGTCTGTCCTAGAACTGACTCTGTAAAGCAGGCTGGCCTCAAACTTAGAGATTCTCCTGCATCTGGCTCCCAAGTGCTGGGATTAAAGGTGTGTGCACCACTACTGCCCAGCCTATAAACAGAACATTATTGGAAGGAAATGGGTCTTGGATTGGTGGTGGGGAATCTTAATAACAAAGCATAAAATTACTTTCTGTTTTAAATATATTCCTTCAAGATGAGTTATCATATAGCCCAGACAGGTGTCTAAATTCATGACATCCTGCCTGTGTCTCCTAAGTGCTGGTATTACAATAAAAGTCATAGATGAAGAACTTGTTTGAACAAAATAAGAACCCAGAAACAAATTGGTTTATACCTTTTAATACTTCAGATATGGTAAATTTATCATTTTAGGTCAGTCTGAATATTTTTGGATGTGTTAGAGGACAGTCAAGGGACTTTACTACCTTTATATCACATACGAAGATAGATTCTAGGTAAATGCATATAGGAACCTGATATGTGAGCATAAATAAAGATACCACCTAAGATAGTATTTTCAAATCTTTCAGTATAAGTAACTTATGTTAGAACTAGCCATCTATAGTTTAATAATAAGACCTATTTAGCTTTCTGTTAATTCATATATTGTTTGTAATGTCTACAATAGTAATAAACATTATTTGAAGCAGAGATATGTATGTGTAAGATAACACTTGACAGAATCTTGACTTTATGTACTTCATGTTCCATAGATGTATGTGTAGTAGTAAGTCATGTGAGTGTGCAGAACTCTGTTATCCTACTGACATGAGCACAGTGGGTTAAAAATTACTCACAACTCTTTCCCCAAGTGTTTTTATTTTTCTCAATATAAAATTGTATTTTAGTAATTGCCTAGACCTCAGAATAGTTATCTTAAGATTTTTGTGTGTTAATTTTCAGTAGTCAAATCTTACTTTGATCCCAGAGGCAGTAAATATGGTTTAATTTAGGTTCTAATGTTTGTTTTCATAATGAAAGCTTGAACAAAGTGATCTTGGAAGGAATATAGTAAATATTCCTGAGACTGACTATTGTAGCAGTATTACCTGAATGCTGTCAAGTTCCTGGTGGTGCCTACAGATGGCATTTTTAGAGAACACATTGTACTTCTGAAGCAGAAATCCCCTTGTCTTTAACAGTTTATATAGTTTGTTCAAATAATGAGATTTTAGTAGCAAGTCATAATATTCAGGACATTTTTTATTGTAAATTAATTCTTTAATGGAATTACCTTTCACTAGCCACTGCTTGGTCTATTTATTTGCTGATTAATGTACTTTTAATCTTGGGGGGGAATCTAATTATGTCAAATCTAATGAAATTTCAGGAAATTCAACAAGAGACAGATATCCCTGAAAGAGAACTTGTTAGAGCCCTCCAGTCCCTCGCCTGTGGTAAACCAACACAGCGGGTCCTCACAAAAGAACCCAAGTCAAAGGAGATAGAAAGTGGCCACATATTTACAGTTAATGATCAGTTCACATCCAAACTACACAGAGTCAAGATTCAAACAGGTACCTGCAATTCAAGTTTTACTCTTAAAAATCATGTATTTTTACATAGAAAAATATTCTTCATCTATTGGGATTCTTCCTTTTAAAGAGTAATAGTTTCATTGTTAACAAAAATAATGTCTGTGGTATGATTGTGCTTGCTTCTAAGAAGGGAAGTGGGGTGTGTGGATACCTGAGCATAGCAAAATGCTGAACCCAAAATGCAAATGAGACATAGCCCTACAGATTGCTTAGCAGTAATGGTGTAATTGTTTCTGACTGGTAGTCAGAAGTCTTTTAAGGCTGTTTTACAGATTTTTAAAATTGGTTGTTACCTAAAGGATTGATCTTTAGGTACTTTCTCTAGGTTTTAGAATTGTAAAACGAGTATTACCTTTAATTTAAAAGCATAAATAACACCATTGTGAACAATTTTTAGTACTGCCTTCTATGCTGATACTGAAAATACTCTTCAGTATATATAATCTGTGTTAGGTTTTTATTTTCTGTTTGTAAATGGCAAAAAGCCAATCCTTCCTTTCCAATGTTTAGAATTAAAGCATCCTGCTTCCTGGTTTCAAGGTTAATATTAGTACACAGACAATACCTCAGCACACATGCCTCCTTGAAGTAAAATATTTTCCTCCATCATTCTAAATATGGTATCACACTCAAGAAAGATAATTTCATATTTTGTCTATTGTATATTCTCTTTTGTCTCAAAGGTTCTTTTTGGAGCTAGGATTCTTTGAGGATATCCACATTACTAATTATTTTTTTTTTATTTCTCTTAATCTAAATAATCTAAACCCATACCCCTCATTGACCTCATGAGGGGGTAATTCTTTGTGTAGATTATTTTTAATTGCTTTACCTTTTTTTTTCTTACCTAAATGCTGTTGAATGCAGTTTTCTCTTTTCCATGTGTCTTCTTATGTGTGTTTGAATGAAAAACAGATACATGGTTTGATTGTATTAGATAGGCTAGAGGGATAGGTGAGATTAGATAACATACCAGGGCTTTAATACAGAAACTCACATACACTAGGCTACATGCTTCTTAACACTGAGCCATGTCCCCTGCAGAAAGCAGTATTCTTATCAAGGAACTTTTCCTACAAGTATCTAAATGTTTGTGTTTACCAGAATAATATAAATTATAAATCTGCTACATAATGTCTGTGCATAAGTCAGCCATTTGCCTCTGTGAGATTTTCTAGTTTGAGTTCAAAGTTTCATTCTTATCTCCTTTTAAGGGCCTGATAACACAACAGGTGGGTCTTGTTTTTGCTACATCAATTATGGCATAGTTGTATATTAGGTCTTTATTTTGCACCTTGCTGGTTATTTTGAATACTATAAGAAGGGCAGAGTGAGACTCTCCCAAAGGTTAGAATACAGAGTAAATGTATGATGAGAATTATGAAAATATTAGGTAATAGAATCCAAGGAATTGGAAAAAAGTATTTCATTGCTATAGAATTCTTTTTACAGCAGTCTGTAGTACTGCATTATAATAGTTTTAACTGTTGGAATCTTGACAACACCTCCTCTTCCCTCTCCTGTGATGTCTTATGAGGTAGAGCAAATACTTGACTATCTATCCGAAAGGTTTTTGTTGAAATAATACTTGAAGCCATGACGGAAAAGAAAGAGTTGAGGTTTGAAAGCCATGAACAATGTACAAATTATGTACTGTTAATTTTGCCAGGATAGAAATTATTCTGGCCTATGAATAATTGACTTTCAGCCAGGCATGTGTGGAATACAAATTTAATAGAAGTCAGGAGGCCAAAGCAGATGAATGTCTGAGTTTGAGGACATCCTGGTCTAAATAATGAGTTCTAGCCAAGCAGAACTCTTTTTTTTTTTTTATTTTTGGCTTTATTTTCCTATTTAAAACTATCTTCTAATTAGACAAAAAAAAAAAGTATATAATTGAGGTGAGTGTGAATGCTTGCTTATTGTGTGTTAATTTGTATGTGTACTCTTGTTGAGATGGATTTTTCTCTGAATAATAGTAAATTATATTATATTTTCGTGTAAGCCAAATTTTTAATGTATTTCTTCTGACACATACCTTTATTTTTATTTTAGTTGCAGCCAAACAAGGTGAATCCGACCCAGAGAGGAAAGAAACAAGACAGAAAGTAGATGATGACAGGAAGCATGAGATAGAAGCTGCTATAGTGCGAATAATGAAGTCTAGGAAGAAGATGCAGCACAATGTTTTAGTAGCAGAGGTAAGGATGCTTGGAGCCATATTGGCATCATTTTCACACAACACTGCTTCCTACGAGCAAGACACTGCATAATGAAACACCTGCACACCAGTGTACCTTTTTAAACAGATCACCTGTATTTTTAGTAGTAATGTTACCGTTTTTTTGAGGACCTCTTCACTAATTAGGAAACAAGACCCATGAGGGGTCATTAACATAGTCGGATAACAAAAGCTTTGTTTAAGAATTTAAACAAATAGGTCTGACAGTTTATTAACTGAGAAATGAGAAGGAAGAGTTTAGCTTTCTGGGTTTCTGGCTTGAGTGAATAAACAGAGGTTGGGCTCCTTAACTTTATAGTGAGAAAGAGTGGTGTGATTCTGTGATCGGTATCTTAGTTGTAATGGTTTGCACATTTGTCTTTGTTGTACACTGGCGTTTGTGGGAGTCCATTAGAGCATTGAAAGTCAGTTAAAACGTGAAGGCTAGACACTAAATTATGAATTCACATTATGTAGGCATATAGACAAAACTGGATTTATATTATAAATTGTTCAGGCGTAACATGGAAAATAACAGAAGGAAAACACTGCAAGAAAGAGTTCTATAGTACCACATTCAGGAACAATGAGAATGCCTAATGACACTGAGAGGAAGCCAGTGAGCGCTGGTTTTAAAGGGTTTTGTTTTTTTTTTTTGTTTGTTTTTTTTTTTTTTCTGAACCAGTGTTAGAGATAGAGGTTCCCAGTCTACCCAGACCTACTGAATCAGAAATTCTTGGGTCAGCAATCTGGCCTTTAACAGGCTCTATGTAGGTGATTATGAAACATGTTCAAATATGATGCCCTTCCAAAGAGAACAACAAACTTATAAGTATGGTTTTATACAGCAAGGAATGACCACGAGTGGGTGGTCAATAATTGTAGAAACCATAAAGCTTAGATGAATGACTGTTTCGGCAAACGTGATTAAATTAATTTTGCCATATATTTTCACTGGTCTAGTAAGAGTAGATAGTTGATGCCATACCGGGGAAGTAAGTGAGTATGGAAACCACCAAGAGTTTGTACTTTGAGACCATGGTTCCTGGTAATAGGCAGAAAGAAGAAATCTAGAAAACTAAGTGGTAGGATTAGGAGTTCTGTAATTTGCCCTTTTCTTCTGAATGGAGATTGTTGATGTGCGTATATTGTGGTTAGTTAGGACAAGGAGGTATTAAAATCTGGGAAAGGAAGGGTGAATATTGGTTGCTGGTAGTAGGAATAGTGGGCAGTAACAAAATGCGCCTTTTCCTGAGAACACAGTAGAGCACATAGTCTGTGCTGACCAAGCAGTGAAGGAGTAGATAAACACTATGTCAGGCAGGAAGATGAGTATCAAATCAAACTAAAATGAGATGGCTTCTTTCTTGTCCCTGTGGAAAACAGGGTAGTGGTTCTGCGTTGTTGTAGCACCAAGGTTGGAAAAGAAGGAACACATTGAAATTAGCGATTCTGTCTACAACGGAGCGGTGATTTTCATTATAAATTTGTAGTAGGATTTCCAAACCTTTATAAAAGGCCAGTTTTAGCCTGAGGGCAGCTAGAAGCAGCACATGCAAGTGTGACTAGATATAAGTGATTTATATCATAAAAACAAGTATTAGGTGGTATTTGACCTGTGAGTGCAACTGATACTCCTAGTTTATACTAATAACAATGCTTATAAAATAGGACCAAAGAAACCAAGAGTCGAAAGTTGAAGTAGTCTTGAATACAGTCTAGGCCCTGTAAGGAAGGAGGCTGTGTCCAAACCAGCTATTCACAGTCTGAAAAATACTTAAGGATAGATAATTTCAAGTGGATGGTAGCAAGATTTTTGTTTTTGTTCCTTACTTTTTTAATTAGCAGGTGTATTAAATGCACTGTGAGGATAGGTTGGAAAAGGAGAACTACCTGCCAGGTGCAAGGCTTTTGATGCTATAATGGTAATTGTGGAAGGAGGATAGATAGGAGCTGCATAGTAGAGTGCTGAAATTTCACATCCCAGAATTTCTAATAACTGATTCTTGTGGGAAAACAACCTTAATCAACAAGAATTAAAGAAAACCTGGATTACAGGTGGATGGATGAGTCAGGGTGGATTATTGAAATGTTCATAAGCTTTGAGGACAGATGTTTAGATTCTCTCTGGTTCTGGTACTAATTGTTAATACCAACTTCTTATTTTCCTTTATAAAATGAAACAGCTTACATTGTAGTTAAAAGCATTAGACAAGTATATTTATTTACTTTATATACATACACAATGATTGATAGCAGTAGACTGGCTGCTACAGTTAATTTATTACTGGAAGCACCATGTTTAGGATCTGACTGCAGCTGGAACAAATGACGACAATTGTTCGTAGTATTGGCAGCCATTGCTGAAAGTTATTTTATCCATTAACTCATCTCTGAGATCCCAGAGCTGGACGAATATGAATCAGGAATTTGAACCCAGGCAACTTGGATCCAGAGCTTGTGTTGTACATCACATACTGTGCTACCCAGGTTCCGTAAGCTGGAAAAATAACCCAGAAGTTAGTAATACCATCATCAAAATGATTACACTTTATGCTGGTATATTGTCAGATTAGTGAAATCCAACTAATATTCTTTATTGTTCACATTTTGACACATGGCAGTGTGTTCTAACCATCTATAACATTTTCAAGTAAAGTTTTTCCTTGTGTTTTTTTTTTTTCCTGTTTCAGTCATTTTATCTATTTGTTAGGTTGATGCAGAGTACTCTTACCTTATGTTCCCTATTGCTGTGATTATAGATGTTAGTCACCGTGCCTGGTGTGTCTATATTGTCTAATTTAGTTGTACAGTCACTAAATCATGATCTTAGCTTTAAAATGGCATGTCAGCTCTAGTAAAAGAGGGTTTTTGTGTGTTTATGTAGAAGTGTTTTAGTTAAAAATTAGTTTGTACTTTCTCTTTTTAGGTAACTCAACAGTTGAAGGCTCGATTCTTACCAAGTCCAGTTGTTATTAAGAAACGTATTGAAGGACTTATTGAGAGAGAATATTTGGCACGAACCCCTGAGGATCGCAAAGTATACACATACGTAGCATAAAATGCATTCAGAAATTTGATTTATTCTTGGACTGTACTCTTCGCATGGACTGGGAAGTTCTTTTAAATCATTACTATTAAGACGACCATCTCTTCTGTTAAATTGCAGTACATGTTATAGACCACTCAGATCAAGCCTCTCCTCCCTCTGAGAGTTTTCAACATCAGTTGATTGAGCTTCAGGCTTTCCAACGTTATCCCTGTAGAGGTCATCTTTACAGTTCCTCGGGAAAATGTGAATGTGCCGCGTTTTGTTTTCAATATTGTATGAAAACAGGAAAAAAAATAAAACAAATTTAGAAAACACAGCTCATTAAAATAAAATTGTTGGATTTCATTTTCCCAGGTCTTCAGTGTTGATGTAAATGTGTTTCTGTAGTGTTGCTTATTAGCACTTTGCGCATTGTGTAAGTTGGGTAGCAAAAATGGCAAAAGACATACAAAGTTCCCAGTTTTCTTGCTCTGCTTGTGACATTTCCTTAGCTGGTATTGTTTAAAGGTTTGATAAATATACAAAGACCCAGGCATACAATTGGCGCATGCTTTATCCTACCACATGCACTTATTAATCTTTCAGCCTTATGACCAAGAACCTTTGTTTGGACATGAGTACACACCCTGAGTTGTTTTGTCCCTATTGTAATTTGAGGTTTTCCAAATTAAGTTCTAAGATGACTAGGTTTTACTCTGAGTTATTTCTAGAGAAAGAAAATATTTTAGTATGTATAAATTGTACAATAATTTTTTGCTGTTGTACTTACTGCTAATAGTGGATTGTATAGGGTGGTGTTTTTATTTCATTTATTGTAGACAGAAAAACGAATTTAGTATTCACATACACACTAATTCAAGTATGTCAGAGCACAAAGGTGGCAGCTGGTTATATTTAATTCAGTCCCTTTGAAAAGCACATACATTCTACCCTTTGTTTATAAATAACTTAGCCCTCATCTCTCTCTCTCTCTGCCCCCCCCCACACAAACACACACACACACAAACACAATTTAAATATATATATTTTGGTGAAACTGGTACACCATTAATTATTTCAAAATGCTATCTAAAATTGCAATAAATAGATTCACTTGGTAGTTTGAAGGAAGTCTTCAGTTCTTGCAGCTGTGTTTTGGAAAGTGTTAAGCAATATTTTTCAAATGTGATGATTCTTGGGTATTTAGCTCTCTGTTGTCTTCTGAAGAGTCATTTTCATGTTTCCAGAGATGTGCTTTGTGCTGGAGATTTGTGTCCATTGCTCTGTGCTTCCAACCATCACTGAAGTTGTTTCCTACCCAATTTATCTGCCAAGGATTATAGTTTGCTTTAACATCAGAGTATTTTTATCTTGCATTTTATTTAATTTCATTTTTTTTCTCTTACAAGGTAATGTTTTAGATATGTAATTGGAGGAAACCACTGTAGATTTCTGTCAGAAAAATGAAATGTTACTGAGTTCAAATAACCAACTCCCCCATTGAACATCAATACTGTTGCTATGCTTATTAGAATGTATGTCTCAGAAGATGGTTTCTGTTTACGTTGATGGTGAAGTTACAGTAACTGAATTCTAATATGGATTAAAAACTCCACATAAATATTTTCCCCATGCGTCTTGGATTATAATTTCCCTTTTAGGCCTGCAGATATGTTTTTATTTCATTTAAATTGCTTTTATCTGTGCTGTACAATTTAAGCCCTATGATCTTGGTTTCTACATGTTTCCCACCTTTTCATGAGACAGTGAAGATGTTATCAATATGGACATTGCTGTGCTTGCACAGGTACCACAGAACACTGAAGAGTCGCTTTCTCGTATAGTTGGAATTTTAACTAAGAAAGCTGCTCTTTAACACTTTGAAAGTGAGGACAGTTCTGGTTGTCAGCAATTGAGGAGGCTATGAAAGCTTCTGTTATGAAGTCTCCTAAGTCAGACATTAAAAACAAAGTACTAGCTCGTTGATGTCATTTTCAGTGTGGCTGTGCAGATCAGGTCTAGCATGTGTGTAGGGACATGAAGATTTGATACTTGTGCTTCTAGATGGCTTGCTTCTGAGTTAAAGTAGATTTGCTGGGGAATGCTGCTTCTGCTACCTTACCAAATTCTTGTGATGCATTTTGATGTTTCTCCTCAGCAATAGGTCATTGACATTTTTATCTACTTTTAATGTTTTGAAAAAAAATAATGTGACTAAATTTTTTGTGACTCGAATTTTAGGGAAGTTGGATAATTTTTCCAGCTACAAAAATGATGTCACCTCTGTTCATTAAATGTTGTAATTCTTTGCTGTCGTTTTTCATGAGGACAGCAATTTATTTTTAAATTGTCAATTTAAAAATTGAAAATTTATTACAATTAGGAAACAGCCTTACAAAATAAAAAGAAAATGGTTATGATTGCAAGGATTCTTTATGTCAGTGAATTTAACCAGGGAATTGAAGGGATGCATATATGGGGCATTGTAAGTACTGGGCAGGGAGGCACCATTTCAAAACCTGGAAATCTTGAACAGTGAAGCATTGTTGGCTTCTGTTTTCTCAATATGCTGGATGGATGGGGAGGATTAGCTAAGAACCAGTGCTCTTATAAATAATGTGTACATTTCCTAAAAGTAGTACCCTGACTGACATCTTAGGCTTCTGAATACCTAATTCTGCTACTTGGGTATTAATGTTTTTTGTTAAGTCTATACAGTGTTTCTTTGGTTTTAATTTTTGAGTATTCACTTTAAACAAATAATATAAGATTTTGCCCTTGTCTCTCTACTATCCTTTGAAAGTAGCCTAATTATTTATGTTATGCTTTACACAACATAAGGTTCTTGCAGTCTTCGAAGGAAAGCCTCTGTGTATTATTTGTAAAATGTTACACCGTGTGGTGGCACTTTATTTGGTAACTATTTTTGTGTTCTATTGGTAATGGAAAATGTAAGAAAGGGGGCAGTGTAAATGAAATTATAAATCATTTCTAGTCACAAGAGCAGAAATGGTCAAGTCACAGGTGACTTGTGGGAACAGTTTGTTGTTCATTTAGTTGTCATATCATTTGACATAACCATTATACCAGTGTTGTTCAGGGTAGCTGCTTAAAAAATGCCTAAGCCGAAATTTGGACCTTAGTTTAATTCTAAGCTAAGACTGGAGCTTGTTTATGTCCCCTGAAATGGATGGGATTTCCATTTAAATCTGTCACTGTACTTCATTTGCATGAAGCAATGGATGTAACGTGGAAATGTATATCAGTAGAATTCTGCATGTTTTTGTTGGCCAATATTTGCTGATGCCAACATCAGAACAGAAGCAAGCTAATAATGGCTACTATTTTGGAAAATGTCCATTTAAAGGAAAATAAACCCTAAAATTCTTAGTTATAAGAATTAAGTGTGGGGGTTACAAGGTAAGTGATTATATTTTACAAATTCCTTATTGCATGGTTTTTTTATATACCAAATCTAGAAGGTATAGGACCCAAAATGACAATATAATAACTGGTCATGAAGCTAGTTCTTGGGAGAACTTGAACAAAATATTTAAATGGCACATTTGTAAATTGACGTAAGTAATTTCATTCTTGATAGTTGCATCTAACTTGTTCCTAAGTGTGCTGTGCTGAAATGCCTTGAAGTGTTAGATTTAAAGTACACAAGAAGCTCCTAGTATTGTGTGCGGTGTTTCTAGTTAATGAAATCAAGTTTCTACATTCTAATAAAGTTTACAACTCACATAGCATAAAACTTTAATGTGCATAGTTCTTGCAGTGCCAAGATTGTGATTCTCCAATTTTTTTTCCCTGTTGTGATTTCTGAATGAGTGCTTTAACAGGATCTGTTGTGGGGGATATGGCACTCTAAGCCCCAAGTGTGGCAGGTCTTAGAAGCATTGAGCTTCCTAAATTAAAATTTGTGCAACAAAATTCACTCTGGCATCAACAAAAGCTTGTAGACAGTTTACCTGGAAAACTTAAGGTGGCGCCTTCAAGTACCAATTCAGGAGCTTTGTTTCGTACATTTAATACAACTGGTAATTACCAAGTATGCCCTTGTGTAAGTGAACAGTATGTATAGAGACCTTGTTGGCTCTAAGATTCTATTCAGTATACCATTTTCATTACTTCCTAGCTCAGAGCCTTGTTCTTTTTTCATCTTCCTTGTGTTTTAATTCTGAAGGCCATCTGAAGGTAGAATATATTACCTTTTAAAAATTTCGAAATGCATGGCTGTAAATTAATGGTAAATGTTATTTTCATATCATTTATAATCTTGTCACAATCTACTTAATGAAGTTTGTTTTAGTTTCAATGAAAATTTCTTCTAAAGTAGTCCCCCCTCCCTGGGAATAGGGTAAATAATCTTACTACAATTAGCATGTATGGTGTAGAATTTTATGGAAATGAAGTGTGCCAACCATGTGGTGATTTACATGTATTAAAAGATGAATGCACAGACTTGCTGCTTACATCACTGCAATTTCTAGGTCCCAGTTTCTTTTGCTGGTTAAAACCAGAAAAACAAGAGTCTGGAAAAAGAGATGTGTGCAAAATCCCACTAAGTGTAGTGCTAGAATTTCTACACAAGTCTCGTTCTAAAGCCTGTGTTCATTCAAAAGCCTGTGTTTTTAATAATTGATGTTTCGTCTCCAGGAATCAGTGATATGTACAAGTTGAATTTGGATTTTACAGATTTTTCTTGTCATATATTTTGGTAAAAGTTTGTGTTGACTTATAGTGCCTTGATACTGAAACAGCATGCATATAAAATTGTAGTGTGTATCTTGGTATATATTTACTATTGTTTGTAAAAAAAAAAAAAAAGAGAGAGAGAGAGAGCTCAATACCTATGGAGTTAATTTTCTATACATTAGCCTAGATTTGTGAAGTAACTACTGACCTGATGTTTTAAAGATAGAGAAGAAACAAGAGTGAGAAGTTTAGCTAAAGAGCATGGTATGGAGTGAGGTAAAGACAATTTCAGTGTGTTCTGATGCAGCAAGCAGCACAGCATGTGTGTAATAAAACAAGACATTGCAACTGTGATGTTTAAATGAAAGGGGTGCTGGAAAGCCTGGCGAAGATCTTGGTCTAGTTTCAGAGGTTGCCCACGAAATGTTTTTGCAATATTCCTTAAAAAAAAAAAAAGCTATTTTTAAGCAAAAAAAATGTATTCCTGTTTGTTAGAAAGTGTCCATATTTATTAAGCTGAATTGAGCTCATTAAAGGAACAGTCCATTTCAAGGGAGTGAAGATTTATTGGTTGTTACCAAGGTTAGAGAAGACTTCCACAAACTAAATGCTCGAGAAGAGTAGCCAGGCCTAAATTTTTAACCAAATTGCTCACCAGCATCCAAGGGA